TCCTTTCACATGCATAAATTACCTTAGCCGTTTTTTGCACAACTTTTTTGGAATTTTAGGTCCTTAATGCTCTTCAACTTTGTACTTGTTTGGCTTTATAACTATTTTGATCTGAGCGTCACTGATGAGTCTTGTATAGACGAAACGCGCGTCTGGCGTATTAAATTATAAGCATGGTACCTTTGATAACTATATACACCACTGGGTCGATGCCACTGCTGGTGGACGTTTTGTCCCTGAGGGTAGCACCAGCCCAGTAGTCAGCACTTCGCTGTTGACATGCATATCAATTATATGGTCATTTTTAAAAATTTCCTGTTCACAAACATATGAAATTTTGAGATACTAAGGATTTTCTTATCACATGCATAAATTACCTTAGCCGTATTTGGCACAACTTTTTGGAATTTTGGGTCCTTAATGCTCTTCAACTTTGTACTTGTTTGGCTTTATAACTATTTTGATCTGAGCGTCACTGATGAGTCTTGTATAGACGAAACGCGCGTCTGGCCTATTAAATTATAAGCATGGTACCTTTGATAACTATTAGTAACTTTGCATGAATTAATGATGGTAGTACCTGATAAATGTGCAGTGTAAAGTAAAAAAGCCCATATTTATTTAATAAAAGTAATCTACTTTTCAATAAACAGCTAAAAGTTTAGATTTTGAACAACATTTTTAAATGGTATATTTTGGGGCCAAAAAGGGGCCTTACCGGTCCTACTTCTTTCAATTCTTTATTTTTATGTTTGTTTTAAGAGTTAAATCTTATACCATCTTTATCTTTATGTTTGTATTATGATAAGATTTTGAAATTTGTATTCATGATGTTGACTAGCTATCCTACATTTTGTACACGTCTTGATTTATTCATATTATGCATCATCCTAGCTGTTCACACGCACACTATCAGTTTGCGTTTACAAAAGAATCCGGATAAAATGTCAATGAATCCGTAGTCAAAACACTTCAGGTAGGTAATTTGACATTTGAATTTTACTTTTATATTACTATATGTGATGACGCAAACACGTATTCTTATCCAGAATATCAATGCGTATTCTTTCGATTTACTTTTTTTCACCAATAATACAACGTGCATGAATCAATATTAATTTCTCTCATGAATGCAAATTTTCGCTTTCCTTATCCTTATTCAAGACACAACAGTAAGAGCTTGACATGTGAATTTCAAGCACGTTCATCATAACTTACGGTATTCTGACCTCTAGCTGTTTCTCTTTTGTTTTCTATTTGAGTCACTATCCTATTATAAACTTCGACTTTTTCGAAATGCTAAGGATTTTCTACTAAAGGAATAGAGTACTTAAAATCGTACTTGGTCTTTGATACTTTTTTAATTTGAGCGTCACTGATGATTCTTTGTAGACTTAAAATAAATGTATTGAGATTACATTTAGCAAACTGTGTGCTTAAAGAGGTAGGGCCAATTTTCCTCGATTTTTTTGTCATAGAAGGACTAATTTAGAAAAAGTGCTGAAAGAATAAGATTAACTATGAAGAAAAGAAATAAAAATGCTTTTTGGTATATATCTTGATTTTTTATATCGTAATATGTCTAAAAAATAGTTAATGTAACCCCCTAAAAAGGATGAAAGTCAAATATGCAGAATTTCCCGTGTTGTTAGATGAGGAAAACAGGGATTCCCCCGAGAAGGACATTTCAACTCTCCCAAAAAGTTCTGTTTTTTGTTTGATGTTGTAATTTATACAACTTTTTTCCTCAAAAAAGGAATTGGTTCAATGTGTCATTTATACCCCAAAACAACCTTTTAAATAAAAATGTAAAACATTGCCAAATTGTACTTACATGTATATAGCTGCTAAATAACAGATTTATCTACGAGCATCGCTGTTGTCCATTGGTAGCGCATAGGAACTGTAATTGATTGATTGTTTTTAAGTTCTGGGGTTCAAATCTCACGCAGATGTTTTGCATTTTTTTTGTGTTGAAATATTAAGTTTTAATGTTTCTATCATATTTTATCGGATGTTTGTTTCTATGATAAAGTCATTTTGGATCATTTTGATATTATATCATTTCATTAAAGAAAAAAAAACAACGTGTCGCTTATTGTGTGCATTCCGATTACTATCCATACTCTTGACCTACTATTCCTGTGTTTACATTTATTATATATATGCTGTCAAACTGAAGAAGCTGCCTGTACAAAACCAATAACCCGAGAAGTAATTTTATAGCAATGAAGCCTAAATGTTGTATGTGTAATATACACATTACGAATAAAGGCCATAGCAGAAAAATTTCAAAATAACACAAACATTTTTTTCAAAACCTTGAACAAGAACATTTTTGAAAATAGTATTATATGTAACAAATGCCAATCTAGCAACTGTGCAGATACTAGTACTGACTTTGTTCCTACCATCATTGCACCGGTATCTAAATCATTAGAGAATAAAACAATAGCGAAACAAAAAATCAATAACACTAACAATTGTGAGTGTAGATAAAACATCAAGAAAGTGTTGCATCTGTATCACAACAACGCGTCCATTTGTTACAATGCCAAACAAGGCCAGATTACATGTGTTTGTAACATAAGGTGTTCTAGTACCAATTAGTGTAAGATGTTGTCCGGTTTATATAGACGGTAAAAATTTAAAAACCGGGACAGAGATAGATACATGAAGAATGAGGAAAACAACATTCCTTTTAAATACGTTCAATATTATTTGGTTTCTTGACAGGTTACGTGGTATGGTATCTTATGCTCACATGGAGCGTTAACAAACAAAATCAATATTGATTTTAATAAACCAAAACATCAATAGTATTGGCCTTGTTTATTGTCGAAATACCTGTTCAAAATATGAAAATAGATGATGTGACGTTTTTTCATGTACTATAACTAGCATCTATCGGGCTATTTAAAACATGATTTACCTACTTAATCAAATGTTGTGAAAAGAAATCAAGGGAAACAAACCCTACCTCTTTATATTGATATTGGTTTGTGTAATTTGCATTAGACATCCGGTTTGTAGAAACTGGGATTTGCAAAAGGATCATAAATGTTTTTTTTTTTCTTAGTCAGAAATGTTTTTTCGCAGACAGGGTGAACATTTTATTTAGATTTTCAACGCTTTCAATCAAATAATTTTGTTCAATATTTAACACTTTAAGCAAATGATTAGGCATTGGGATCATTTGGATTCATAATATGTTTTTAGTCCTCTGCTTAAACAGAGTATCTTTTTTCATCAAATTGGAAATCAGAATTTCTTTAGGAAATAAACAATACCCCATCCCCTTTTTAAATGGTCATGCCCTTATATATCTAAATGTCTGCATGGTATACTTAGCCATACATTTTTAGTTGATTGGAGGGTGTAAATTCAATATGGTTATTGAAATGATAATCTTTTATATGCATACCGAAGACTTTTAGGGAATCTGTAGTATCAATGTCTCGGGATCGTCTTAGGTGTGTAAGTTGTGAAACAAAATTTGAATAATGATATTTATATGCAAACTAAATGGATCTGAAATTTATATGATGTATGTGAAAAAAATAAACGAGTACGGTGCGGGTGGTATGACACCAAGTCAACCAAAACCTACCCGAATTATAAATCATAGCCTCCTTACTTAATTTAATCCGAAATTAAGCTTGCCAGCTCTTTTGCTAAGGACTAGAGTTTAAAAATAACATTTGCTAATAATCCTTTATATTAAAACGTGTATTCCCGAGCGTATAATTTGAGACAAGTATGTGTTATAGTAGTCACACTGACAGGTATTATGCACAGAAATAGGGTAAATTGTAGTTGTGTCGTCTTAAACGTAGTTAAGTGGTATGTTTCTTTCAACTACATCAGACTGAATAAATGATAACCTCCCTTTTTTACATGTGTTTGCTTACACTCCATATTAACTAGAATTATTTCTTGTAATTTATTCATCAATTCATCTTCGATACCTTCAGGAGCTATAAAATGTTGAACAGTGTGAACGCCTTACGGGAGTGATTGTGCTTGATTTCATATGATGAAGCCATAATATTCCAATCAGTTTTATTGAGGTCTGGAGCTGGCATGTCAGTTACTGCTTGTAGTCCTTTGTTTAGTTATGTATTATCGTAATTTTGTTTAGTTTCTTTTGTAACATATTCTGACATCGGACTCGAACTTCTTTTAAACGGAGTTTTTTTTCTGTGCGTATTGCTGAGTGTGTATTTAATCTACATTGGCTAAAGGGATGGGGGAGATTTAGATATCACTAAACACGCATTGTAGCGCCTGTCCCAAGTCACGAGCCTCTGGTCTTTGTTAGTCTATTTAGCTTTTTTTAATTGTAAAACATTCATATGTTTAGGAGTTTAGTATGACGTCCATTTTCACTGAACGAGTACACATTTTTGTTTAAGAGCCAACTGAAGCCTCGTGGTGCGGGAATTTCTCGCTGTGTTGAAAACTAATGATCGGCTTTTCACTGTTTTCATTCTTTGTAGGGATTGTTGACTCTTGAACACATTCTCCATTTCCATTTTCTATTTTATCTTGTCAAATGTTACTAGTCTTGACGCATGCTAAGGTTATTCTTTAGTTTCATTGGATTTATTTGTGTAAGTTCACATCTAGACGGTAAACAAAACTTGTTACTAGTTTAAGTATTGCATAATATCATGGTCGTATCGCGTTAGGAACAGTTAAATTTCAAATTACAAACGTTCGCTGTTGGCACTGCATAAGCAAACTCGGATAACAGCCATACGTACACTGTATATAGCTACTTCTGGGAAGTAACTCTTTATCTTTAAGTTTCTCTCATTTAATAATTAAAACAAAAATGCATAAAAGAAGGGGAAAAAGACAAACCGGTAATATATCAAAATCAAATACAACACGAGGACACACTAAACTATAAAGAATAAAAGATAACAGTTCATACAAAACTGTACTGAAAACTTGAAATAAAGAATATTAACTCCAACAAATGAAATGTGTCAAAATTTCAAAATTATGCCAGAGAGATTCGCCAAAATTTAATTCTCTATAAGGCATTTATTGGTGATATATAGGTTACATTTTTGAATATTATGTTATAAATACATTATAGCGATGAAAAGTACGAAAAAAGCATTTGGAAAACACAACATGATTAATATTATTTCTGTTGTGTACAAATATTGTGCTATTCACTTTTTGAAAGGAATTCTGACTTCCTCAAACGGTAATATGAGTGTAACGTACTCATCACCTTCATTATAACGAACAACCTGTTTGGTCAGCAGATACTTCATCAGTACATTCACAGCTCTAGTGTTAACCATCGCCAAGGCCAAAAAAAGCAACAGAAAGTGGCTTCATTTCTTGAAAACTTAGTGCATATCCTAGAGTACACGACAAAATTAGATGGTCGCAATCATTTTTCAATAAATCATACGATTGAATTATATCAGCATTATCTCTAAAGTATTGGGCAACAGCAACGGAAACTTGATTCGGTAATCGTTTTAACTGTGTTGTGGAAGTGCTATAGGTTACCAGCGAAACATTTATGTTTCTACACAATTTCATCGTGTCTTCATGTATTGCTACTTTGTTTTGAAGGTTGTTTCTGCCATCACCACTAAAGTGAATAAGTGTGAATTTTCCTGCTTTTTTGTCGATCTTTGTGACAATAGCATGATTATCGTATACATCAAACCAGCAACCTCTTACATGAGCACCTTCGTAAAGTGACTCAAAATCAGTGACTCTTGAAGATGGCACAAATTCCATTGCCTTTCTTAAAGACGATACAGTATCCAGTTGATCTTTAAAGAAACTAAAAAAAACATGTAAACTGAGGTTTAGTATGACAAAAAAAATGATCTCGTCTGTGACATAAAGTCGCAGTATGCAAGACATAAAGGAATACTATCCGGTGGTGTCGGCGTAAACTATTTGTATGAAGCTTTACAATTCATAAGGAAGACCTGAATGCTTCATATCTTGTATGCATATAACTTGTGTTACGAAGTTTCTGCTTGTCATATGGCAATCGTCTTTGGCACGATTTAATGGTCGGCGATTGATTGGTATAAAAAATGTCATGCGAATGTTTCACTTATTTTCAGTATTAGAATAACTTTATTTGCAATATGGGTTTCTTGCAACGTCTACTTGTCCGTCAAATAGGGTTTATCTCATTTCAGGGTCAGTGATCAAGTTGAAAGTTACGTGATTATGTATATTTCTCAAATACTTTTAGCAGAAGGAAAACTATAGGTAGTGTATGCATTATTGTAAGGTGTAAGACATGCCAGTCTGGTAGGTTTAATCCTACCTTAACCTATTTTTTTATTGTTCATTGGTAATTGTTAAGTTTTTGTTTTGGGTCTGTGTTTTTGTCTTTTTATTTTTTTTGGCAAGTACTTAAAGCAATAGGTCAACTGTATTTGGTGTATCGAATGATTGAAAGGTGTCTGATAGATTTTATCTGAGCTTGACCCCCTGTTCATGGTTCATTGGTCAGTTATACATTTTTGTATTTTTGTCGTTTTCTTTGTATTTTATACTAATAGCAATACGTCTGCTATATTTGGTTAATTGTAAGCTGTACATGTATGTTTTGTATGAAAACTCTAACCTTGACCTCATTTTCATTGTTTAGTGGTCAATATAAAGTTTTTAGAAATTTTGTCAGTTTGTCAATTATCATAGGCAATAGGTCAACTATATTTGGTAAATGGAATAGTTGTAAAGCTAACATGTCTGTCAGACATGATTTATCATACCTTGTCATAGACTTTTGAAAATGTAAAATTGTTGTGATAATAGTAGTAAAACATTGATTTTCAAAACTCTGCAAGATAAAGTCAATGGTCCCTAAAGCAGGCGAGACACTTTGGTGTGTGCCCTCTTGTTTTATAACGTTCTGAATAATCAAATATTTTAAATGTAGGAGTAACGATCATCACACACATATACACACATACATGTAGACGGAACGCTTTAGATAGTTTCCATCAAAGTTGATTGATTTGAAAGACCTTCAGCGTTGAACATTAGCAATTTCAAATTATTGAACTGTTTTTCATTTTAGTCTGTTCTTATTAATTACAGAATATTTACTTGCTTAATTAATACAAAAGTTAACTCGCGTGGAACATTACCTACAAACTCTTCATATACACATGAGTTCAACAGTCAATATGGTCAAGTATTTAATAAATCGTTTTGATTTTTATATTTTAATAATAATAATTATGATTAATTTACTGTTTGCAAAAGTAGGAATTATTCGAAATACTAAGGATTTTCTTATCCCAGGCATAGATTATCTTAGCCGTATTTGGCACAACCTTTTTGGAATTCAGGGTCCTGAATGCTATTCAACTTTATACTTGTTTGGCTTTGTAACTATTTTGATCTGAGCGTAACTGGTGAGTATAAGTGTAGACGAAACGCGCGTCTGGCGTAATAAAATATAATCCTGGTACATAGGATGACTATTCAACGGGTTTAAATTTTCAATATATTAAGGAATTATTACAAAATTAAGAAACGTTTTTATTACAAAATATTGTAACTTCATCGTCTTTCTAAGTAATACTGTTTTAATACATGTATAAACATAATCATATATCAATATGTTTGTATCAAGCTACGATAGAGGGGCCGCGGTGGCCGAGTGGTCTAAGTAGTTACTACTGTGATTACTAGCCAGTCAACACTGAGGTTGTGAGTTCGAACTCTGCTCGTGCAGGTGCACTCGACTCCAATCTTAATTGACTAGGATTGTCAGTTTTCCTATCGAAGGTCGGTGGTTTTCTCCGGGTACTCCGGCTTCCTCCACCAATAAAAACAGACCGCCACGAAATAGCGCAAAAGAGGTGCTCAAAAATGGCGTTAAACACCAAACAATCAAATCAAATCAAGCTACGATAGAGGAGAACTAATATATTATGCAAATGCAGAAGAAACTGACGATACCTATATCAACCAGTCATGTTACAATCAAAGTTTATGATTGTATGTGATTGTATTGTGTATGTATTTACCTCTTGTTTCACATGTGAGTGTGACGGAGTGTTTTTAAAGGAATCATATTGTATTGTATTGTATTGTATAATAAGATTTTTTTTTTTCAAATATGTGTGTTTGAAGAGTTTTAAAACAGTTTTATTTCACATGTATACAAAAATACGAGTTATTGCATATGTATTCCAAAACAGAAAACATACATCATGTACATTGTGACACTAAAATAAACACATATATATAAACAAAAAACCCGCAGATGATGTGTAAATACTTTATATTTTTGACAGATTTAAAAACCAAGATCACTACTCACGCTAGGGGGCCAATGCAGAACGTACATCTCGTCACAAACTTCAAAAATGGATATCGGAACATTATTTGTCAGAACTTTAGTATCCTCTTCTGTTTTCTGTGCTAATGAATTTCCTATTGGCAGCAAAGCAACAGTAAAAAATAGTCTGGATGCACTGAATCCTTGTTCTATAAACACCATCCGATTACTTTAACCTGAAAGAAGAAGTTAGAATTGGTGGTTAAACTATCAAAATTTCACATATATGATTTGTAATTAACCAGTAATACAGTTAATCTCTCATATAAATTGCACAAATTATATGTGGGAAGATTCTTCAATAAACATAAAAACACTGAAGGAATTTTGCATTACAAGAAGATACGCTGAGTCGTACCAACTCTTCAGGTAACAGTCCCAATGAATACATTTGTCATTCCATTGACAACATTGAAATTGATTTACTGGCGTTCAGCTTACTACTGCATTTTGTTTTATTTTATTAGCGACTAAGTATACACATCAACGCGTAATCTTGACCATGTAATTAACTTGTACGGAATAAAAGACAAAACCTGCTGCACATAAGGGGGCTTCTTGTCTAGGTACTTTCGACATGGTTTAATATAGTTGAATGTGATTAATAATAATGCGTGTACTGCATTGCCATTTGTTTTCTCATACATGACAAGTCTTTGGTATTCAATAACGTGTAAGTCCTTGTAATAACTAATGAATTTATATAAAGTGATGCATTTTTATCGAAGTGTTAAAGTAAAAGGCTATTCTCTAACACGTTACCTATACGAAATAGAAGAATATCATAGCATTAGTAATATTCACGTTAAAAGGAAAGACACAATAGGTTATCAATACCATGTGTTTACAAATACTTGCATAACACCTTTTTAAGAGAATTTAACTATAATAAATAATAACACGTCTTTGATGGTATTTAACACAAAATCGTTAGGCTAAAAGTAAAATATATGCATTCTTCTAAACAGTGTTTTTTACAAATTAGCTGATATTAAGGTGTTCAATTCGTTCCACCGTTACAATGTCATGTTAACATAATATTGTAAATACCGTAATAATAATTTTCACTACACGACAACCATGTTCTTTGCACAATTTTAAAATTAGAATTCTTCATATTTCTAAGTACAATAGACAAAACATAAAAGCTTACAGAGAAATATAGAAATATAGGAGAAAAAACGCATACATTTACTGAATTATTCTGCCTTCTGAAACTGTGCATAGTTTAGTGAATAACGCAAACTGTAAGATTAACGTTGCAGCAATATGAATATTGTCATATATGGGCGACAGCTATTATATAGCATATCCCTTATACAATATACGTTTTATGGTCAAAACAAAAAAGACACGTCCATTCTTATTTTTTTTAAATATACGAAACTACTTTATTATCAGGGTTACAACTTCAATTTAGGTGCGATTTTTCTAATGGGTAGGTTATGATGGGAAGTTGGAGATTTTTACACAAAACTGGCATCATATTTTGTTACTCTAGCTGCGACGAGTTAAAAAATGGCGGAACACTTCGTAAATATAAAAACGTCTGAATTTTTTTACGTTTATTTTAGGTCCACCAGAGAACTTTGTATAAGTCTGTAAAAGATGCAACGATTGTGTACACACTACAATACAATTTCGAATCGTTTTAAATTATCAACCGAAAGGATAATTCAGTGCTGCGAGATGTGCTCGAAATTTACTATGAGAAAATGAAAGCCATTTCCAATAATAAACTGTCCTAGTTACATGTAAATATGAAACGTCTAAACTTAAATAGAACCAAAGTCCCCTTTTTCATACAAAAGCTATTTAAGTCTTCTAATCTTTAATAGGATTTACAGTTTCCCAACCAAATACCTTCTCAGTAAGATTTTTATTAATCTCCCAGCCGATCGATGATATTATCACTTACTTATAAGTGTCGTTTTGACAGAATTTGCATGTTTGGTGTACATGTAGTTACCCCATCTACATTTAAGAAGAATATTGTTAACCAAAACTGACATTATAATAGAGGTTTATCTACAAACTCTTTCTTTATGATGCTAATTATTTTTTATAGACAGTGATGTCTTTTAATGCAAATATGATAAAACATGTACAAGAGAGACAAAAGATACCAAAGGGACATGAAACGTCTAAAAGGTCGAAAATAAACTGACAACGCCATGCCCAAAAAAAAACAAAAAGACAAACAAGTGTACACAAAACCCAACATAGAAAACTGAAGACTGAACAAAACAAACCCAACCAAGAACAGAGGGTTATTTCCGGTGCTCCGAAAGGGTGGGCTGATCCTGTTCCCCATGTGGCACCCGTAGTGTTGCTCATTTGAGTACAAACTAGATATTTTTTAATGAGGTAGTAATTGGCTTTCTATCAACCTTTCAGCTATGTTTCATTAAATTAATTATAAATTATACGGTATGTACTATAATTATTTTCTTTTAAATTTTAAAATGAAAGTAAACAAAAATTTTCACATAATTTGAACAGAATTATTTAACATAAGGATTCGCTGCTGCTCATCTCAATGGTCTATCTGGCACAACCACATATATAATAAAACAAATTTGATTGGATCCACCAAAAGAGCAACACATTAAAACCCCTTTTGCGTATTTCTGTTAAGTTCCAAACCAGTATTAGCATGTTGAATACCTCAACTGATAATGGTAAACACTAACTCTTTCGACATTTTTATTAATTAAAAGTATTTCGAATCTCGATAAAGAAATCTGCCCGACTTTAGAAATGCTAATGCGGGTTTTAGATGGATAATTCTATAAACAGATGAACAGACATGGATTTTGTTCATAAAATTTTTATGTTGTACATATATGTTGTATACTGAACCCTAATTATCAGTATTCAGTCACATACAGGTCCTGATCAATAAAACAATAATTGACAGAATCATATCTATGACATACTCTTAAATGATTTTGTACAGACTTTGGGATATTAATGTTAAGATCCACTATGTCTTTTAACTTTATACGTTTAGTTTTGTCAAAATGAATGGATGATAATAACTTGGTGAACTATGAAGTCTTAATTATATCAACCAAGGTAGAAGGTTACTAAATAAAATGTTGACAACCGTGTCCACCAAAAGTAACAAGTTCGTTTAATAAAACTCAAGCATCATATCAGTTTCACGGCTGTGACCTCTTATTTGAATCAGCGAGGTATACTTTGTCTGTTACTTAATACGATATTTGCATCTACTTTGTATCTCTCTTTTTGATGGTCAGAAATTTGGCGAACGGTAGCCTTATTTTGTCATTGAAAGCTGCACTACTGCTCGAATGCGGGAATTATAGGGCTCGTTTTTCGCCTGTTGGAAAAAGATGGTCTTCCTCTATACCAAGCACGCAATATTTTGGAGCAAAGATTGGTTGGTCCGGGTTAAAAATCATGTGTCAGGGTAAGATTACGTGTCTTCCTGTGGTATAAAATCAATATAAAAAAGAAGATGTGATATAATTGCTTTTGAGACAATCTTCACAAAAAACCAAAGGACACAGAAATAGCCAAATATATGTCACCATACGGAGTTCAGCAATAAGCGAAGCCCATATCGCATAGTCAACTATAAAAGGCCCTGAAATGACAAATGTAAAACAATGCAAACGAGAAAAAACTAACGACCTATTAAATGAACCCAGAAAAAAACGAAAAACAAATATGTTACACAGCAACATACGACAACCGCCGAATTAGAGGCTCCTACTTAGGACAGGCACATACATGTAGAATGTGGTGGGGGTAAACATGTTAGCAGGATCCCAGCCGTCCAATAACATGGGACAGTGGTGTTACAGTACGACATAAGCACGAACTAAAACTAATCAGTTGAAAAAAGCTGAACTTATCAGATGGATACAAATAGAAGTACATCTAACAAAAACACAGAGAGGACGTAGCCGGATATTTATACATCCCAACAACAAAAAGAGACCAAGTATACATCACAGATTAATTGCAATTACTGACAGCTAATTCGAGGCCAATAACAATTCATTAAACAATTATGCATTTTAGACTTAACTATCAATCAGTAAACATCCGACATCCAATGGGTATAGTGTAAAGACGTCATAAACAGTTAGAGAAAAATATGACCTTGTGCAATGCGAAAATAAAGGTATCGACAGATTGTAGATCCATGAAAGAGCATATGTATATAACAATACTATTTAGTTTGCTTTTAATTCACTGATAACACAATTAATTATAATACCAATAAGAATAATATTCAAAGATCTAATTACAGTGGTGAGTTGGTAACCTTTTAGAATACTTGTATTTATACGATCGATAAGTGTAACATTTAGGACGAGAAAAATGAATAAGTCTGGTTGATATTCTTCTTCTCCTTCTAAATATTCATGTTTGAAATACATATGCAACGAACGCTTATATGGCCCTACATTCTATAAATACTATTTTTGTTCCACTTGAAATGTTGCTTTTATCCCCATTTCAAAAAATCCTTGATCCGCATCTGACAACGAAATCGTCTTATATTACTAGTCTGTTGTTCAATGTTACTTACAAATGTACCTTACACATTTCCGTTAATGAATTATTCAGTAAAATGATTTCAGTGACCCCCTTTTCACGGGGAGTAATCTCGTCATATCGAGGAGCGTTAAGTAGTTATTTTTTCATAGTTTTGGTAAGTTAGACATGACTGTGTTAAGTGTTTTTGATGACAAACAATTTCAAAAAATAAACATTCAAATATATTGTTAAATGAACATCTAATCATAAATTAAAGCTGGTAAGTATCTTTGTTTATAGCTAATGTGTTAGTACATCAAAATTTGTATCATATAGTTATCAATTTGAAACAGAATATTGCTTGCGTATGTCGAAAGGTAAAAGTTGTGATTCGTTCTTAATGCACACATAAAAGTGGTGTGCTTACATCACATATTTCGTTATGATATAAAATACCGTCAATTATTCCGAAAATAGCTACTCTTTCACACAATTTAAAATTACAGAAAAGTCGGTGTCATGGTTTATTTCATGTTCAACATGGTTCAATAATGTGATTCGTGTCGTTGATGAAGGAAGAATAACGATCGAAATAAACAGACAGTGTACAACAATTGAATTGTTTCTTTTTTAAATCGTTTTATTTGGAATACAATTAAAAGGACATATGAACGCATATACAATGTAGTATTATATTATATAAAGTTCATGCGGTATGATTGCCAAAGAGATAACTATCAACCCGAGACCAAAATGACATAGATGTAAGCAACTATATGTCGACGTACGGCCTTCAACAATGAGCAAAATCCATACAGTTTGTAATAATCAATGATAAAAATGGAAATTATATCGGCTTTATTCTATTTCGAAATTGTGATCTTTCATATATTTGAATTCGGAACTTTGTGAATATTGTTTTTATTTTCATTTCCCAAATAGTTTATAAAACAAATATTTATTGAACTTTTGTCCATGTCACGTGTAAAAATTTTGTTTCGTGGATGGTTGAAGACTTATGTTGTCCTAATAATACCGTTTGATTCGTTTTAGTTGGGTTACTACATCACGGGCGTATAACCCCACATCTGCTTTTATTCATCATATACTTGTTCAATATATAACAACAGATGTTTAGTTTGCTAAACAAAAAATAAAACAAAAAATACTACGTTTTTAAGTAAACGTCTTAAACTATTGTGCAATTGATGCTGCTTACGACATCCCGACAGAGTATATCAAGGAAAGACGGAAAAAATATTCTATGTGAAACAGAAAAAGTGCCTCTGGTTTTTGTAATTATTATATCGAAAGCTAGTGTGAAAGAGCAGTAACTAATTAAATTAAATCGCAGAAAAAAGTAAAAAAAAACAAAACAACAACAGTACCAAACTCCGAGGAAAATTCTAAAAGGAAATTCCCTAAGCAAATGGCAAAATCAAAAACTCAAACACATCAAATGAATGGATAACAACTGGTATATTCCTGACTTGGTACAGGCATTATATTTTGTAGACAATGGTGGATTAAACCTGGTTTTAAAGCCTGCTAAACCTCACATCTGTATGACAGTCGAATTAAAATACATTATATTGAAAATGATGTCTGAATAAAACAAAGACACATAAGGTAAAAATGTCAAAAATTGAGGTACAGCAGTCAACGCTGAGTTATAATCTTAATCACTATAAAAACAAACAAATATGTCAACAAAGAAACACAAAAATACTGATAGACAAAACACAGTTTTTTTTTTTTTCATTCTCATATCACAACACAATGACGCGATGTATAAGTACAGAGCCACTTCAATTAGATATCACCATAACAGACTAAACAGTAAAAGAAATATCCATAAAGACAAATAAAACAATACTATAACACGTCATTCTGATGACAAACAACATCAGTACCTATCATCTATACTTGAAGACCATAATTTTTTATTTGTAAAGTTGATAAGGAATATTTATGAAACAGGTCTTGGTATCTTCTGATGAACTTGTTTTTTTGAAATTTTGAAATACCCTTGGTTCATCAGCTTTGTGCTCAGACACTGGTGACATTGTACAATGTCTGAGTTGCAGCTGCATGCTCTTGAACACAGAATGAGTTTGTTAATTTATATCCCATATGTAGGTGAAGTTGGTATATTGCTTCCTACATGTAACAGGGGGAATTGATAATTTCAAAATTTAAATCTTATCGTTTGTCGTAGATTCTGGTACTGAAATGACCGCTCGTGTCAAATTCGATATATAAGTCTAAAAATAAGACATAGGACGCCGTGTCTGTTGTTTTTTAAATATCTTGTTCTGGGTGATATATTGATAGAACTAATTAGAAAAGTTTGGATTGTGAATGGAAGTTCATCATCAATATATCTGACTGTGAAATTAAATGATCTGGTTTCTTTGATCTTCTTGTTTTTGACAATGGCTGAAGGAATTCCGACTCATACGAAAAAAAAGAAGTGGTCGGCAAGGAGAGGCGCACAGTTTGTTCCCATAGAAATGCCGACAATTATTTGAAAAAGTATATCTCTAAATTTAACAGATATGTTGTCAATTAAAAAACTTCAGCATACTGATCACTTGTTCCACTGTGTAGCATGCTTTACTTTTTTGTTTACTATTAACAAAATATCCCCTATGGTATCCCAAAGTAATAAATTTATAGCGCATGCTACCATTTTTTATGTTGAAAAGCATTGTGAATCATTTTTAGAGGATTTTTTAATTTCACATGGGGAATGGTGGAGAGTTTAAAAACCCTCACATGGGTAATACCACTACGTTAGTAAACAGTTTCACTGTATTTCTGAAGACCCTCTTTCACTGTGAAAGAATCTTTGTCAATCTAATGGACAATTATTTCGTCTTACATGTAGATGATCCGGCAATGAACGGTTGTAAGTATTGAATTTTGTGAAGCGTACTTATCTAATAAAAACAAGGTAAGTCCTCCGATGTGTTGCTCAATGTAATGTCCATTGAAGCCGTAAAGCACTTATGATTAGCCAAAATATCATCCTTGCCAAATGATGTTATTGTTTGTGGGATAACATGAGTACTCATTTATTCTTATTATATTACAAGATACTCGTATGTGTACGATTTGCATAAAAAGACAAGTTACGAAAAGTAAAATTATTTAGTGTACACTTTGCCGATTCCGCTCTTCAAATATGGTTGAAAAGGCCTTTTTCTTCTTAGTCAGTAAATTGTGTAACTTCTTTTAAAAACAAGCTTTTTCTAGACTCCTAACCGAACCATGTCAATCACTTAACCAAACCATAACAATTTCGATAGTTTGCCATTTCTGCGTTAATTTCTTGAAAACAACATATATATTATTTTGGATCTAAACCATGACAAACTTGATCAAAACCATGTCCAATTTCTAGACACTTAACCATACCATAACAATTTCGATAATTTGCCTATTCTGCGGTAATTTCTTCAAAACAACATTTCCAATGTAAATTGTTTGACTTAAAATACAGATTCACACATTTTATTTGGTTTTTATTTACTCGTTTGAATAGAGCTGAGGCAATCGTTCGGGGAAGTAACTTAACTTAACCATGTTAAATTTAAACAAACTATGACAAAATCACTGTACTAAACGCCCTTGGTATGACGAGGTTACTACCCGTGCTTTTAATTGTTTATTAGTAAAAGGGATAACAAACTATTAAATAATTTACTACAAGGGATATAAAAAAAAATATCTGAAAATGTCTTTTGTATTTGGACTGCGATAGCATTCCCGTTAAACAATTCAAAACAGAACTATCCTTATTGTACACACCTTATAATTAGTTCTAAAAAAACAACATGTATAGAAATTTTTGTATCAATACAGTTTATAATAAATGAAAAAGACTTATTTTTAGAAAGTAAATGGAATTGGTAGTCGAATCTCAACTTTTATAAACATGATAAATAGACAGATTCTAACAAAAAGTAAAATCACACTAATACTGAACTCCGAGGAAAATTCAAAACGGAAAGTCCCTAATCAAATGGCAAAATCAAATGATAAAACACATCAAACGAATGGACAACAACTGTCATATTCTTGACTTGGTACAGGCATTTTCAAAACTCTGGTTTCGATATTACTGAAAGGCTGGAATCCGGAAAACCGCGTAATAAATAAAAGTGCAAGATTTCAATCATTTCTTGTCATTATAAAATTATTTTATATGCCAAAAAATCAAATGAGTAGTTTCATAAGTCATGGAATACTTTTTTAATCTTGAGCGACAAATTTAATCAAACCCAATGGTTGACAAAAACCACTTCTGTTAGGTCCGTACGTCGAGTTACGTACGTATGTCATTGTATTGGTTATCTCCAGTTAGCATTGTGTATAATTTTCACAACATTTGGTTTAGGCAAACTTAAGTTAGAGAATGGAATCAAATTTCGGGACTAACGTACGTACAGCTGTACAGACGATCAGGAATAACAATTAATGCTCCTACTGCTGCGGACGAACCATTAAAACAGAATCGAAGCTTGCATTCGTTTTGATAGGTTATCTTTTATAAAAAAACTTCCCTCTTTTTATGACACCGTAGGTTTATCACTACATTGCCCATATTGAAAAATATACGACAATAGGATTGACATTTATCATGAAACAACTGCGATGGTCTTTTCGGAACAATATATCATATTTAGATTGGACAAGATGAAAGTATATGCGTTTCACACAAGAACACATTTACATACATATATATAGTGTTTGATGTTTTGCAATAGAAGTATTGCTGTTTGATCTTTTATCAATTTCTAAACAATATTTAAACATATGAATATACTTACCAAGATACAAATGCAGTTACAGTTATAACTATTTCAAGATTCTTTAGGCATTCAACATTCCACTTAAGTGTATGTGTCTATACAAATATGTTTACGGTTCATGAATTTCCGAACTGAGAAAAAACATATCAATTTGTATGAAGAAAATCACGTGATTCTTATTTGGCTACACTTTATAAAATACATCAAAATTAAATATTGCTTAGGTATTTAAATTACACGTAAGGTATTGTTTACAAATAATTACACCCCAGTTCTATTGTTATACTTCATAGTTTCTATTTCTGAAACAAGTGTAAATTGAATAGATCTATTGTTACGAATAACAATGGATTTTGACCACAGGGTGTGACGAGCGGGGTTTCTGGAAACCCCTGCTTCTACATCCCGAAAACACAGTCCATTGTTATGCATTACAATAGAAATTGATAATTTTTTAAATAGCATGAACATAAGAAATTACTAATAGTGTTCACTACAAGTTGTTTCAAGATATTAAAAAAAACACATTTTAGAAAATTCCAATAGCGAAAAAAAATATTAAGCATCTATTTTGAATAAAAACAAATCATTTGATTGATCGCGTTGAAAAACTAAATAAAATTGTTCGCGATTTTCGAGAAGAAAAAAAATTCCGACTCCGACAAAAAATCATAACCCCCCCCCCCCCCCCCCTTTTTTTGAAGTTAAAATGGTTGTTCCCTTAATACTCCTTTACTTGAAGGTAAAAGTTTTGATCCAAGTCATATGTCTCTATTCTAAAGCATTAATCTTTAAAAAAAAAGGGGGGGATTCTAACTCCCGGACCCCCCACCCCCCTGGATTGCCCCAAAAAGGGAGTTCCTAAATATTCAATCTGTATTTTGGTATGTTGAGCGTGTCCGGTCGTCGGGTTTCTTAATCCAGACACACCTATCCCTCAGTATGTCCGAATATGAATGTTTGTTTATTCTGGAGAAGAAGTGGGGGGCTCTTTTTTTTTTTTTATAAACCCGTAACATAAAAAATATATTTATGATTACCTTCATTAAACTGATAAAGGTAAGTACTTTGGGTTATGATATTGCCTTTATCTTTAGTCTAATCTACCAAATCCAACGCTAGACTCAAAAAGTCGTCCTTCTTATACCCGTCCATATTGACAACTGCATACAAGAACCATGATGTATTTTTTTTGTAATAAGAATGCACGAAACGGTCAACCTTGAAATGCTGATCCATATTAGCACCAGGATTTAACGGGAATATGCAAAACAGCAACTTTGACATTTGTAAAATCTACTCACTTGTCAAAGTTTGAACGAACATAGCCAAGTTACTAGTGGGGTTTCATGCAAAAAAAAAATCTTTTTCTTATAAATCATGGTTTGATTTTGTCAATAAATATGCTATCCGTTCTTTTTCATTTAATAACCATTGTTAACAAATATAGGGTATAGCATTGGGTGTAAGTTAGTTATACACCTCGGGATACGGTGTGTCTGGATAAGAAACCCCTCCGGCCTCCGGCCGTCGGGGTTTCTTATCCAGACACACCTATCCCTCGGTGTATAACTATTACATACACATATCTTATACTATAAGCAGACGGCTGAAAAGAAAGCACCAATGAGGAGGCATCCAGCTGGCAAATAAAAACGAGAAAGATTTGTATGCTACTTCTATTCACATTGTGATATTCGTATCAATAATTTCTCAAGTATATTTAGATTGATGATTTTCATTTATTGAAATAATGGAGATCTTTAGAGTTTATATGACTTTCTACAACATTTCACAATTTTCTGGCAGTACGTTAGGCTGTTTATTTCATAAACATTGCATTGTCTTTTAGAGTATCAATCATACTGATTCAATTCATCTGTAAGGATTACAAATGCTGTTGAAGACATTTTACGAGTTCTAAAATATATGGGATCCCTAGCTATATTATTCTATTGTAATGTTCATTGGTCGCTAAGGTTACAAAAAAGAAGAATCTTGCTGTAGCAATACATGTTTCACGCAGAAGGAACCGTTGTGTCGATTAGAACGTTTGGCGGGAAAGTCAGTGGTTGGGTCCAAGGATATGGGGGTGTTTGGGAGGGATTCTTGTGTTCGGTATCGGGAACATTTAGAGAACACCCCTTTCCAATGAATAGTGTATTCGCCCCGGAGTATATAATTGGGTGATGAATACAATTCGAGTTTGTCGATATTCTTATTAAGAAGACCAGTGGACAAGAGCAAGCACGGTACATAGCTGTAAGTGATATAGTCGAGGACAACTTGTACTAGGGACAACTTGTACTGGGTACAAGTTGGTCTAAAATATAGGAAGTTGGCAGAGCAGACTGTCCCAATCGGAGGACAGACTGTACCAGCTTGCACTACCTGGTAGGGACAGACTGTCCCACTCGGAGGACGAGCTGTACCAGCCGCACTGTCTTATAGTGACAAACCGTTCCAATAGGAGGACAGGCTGTTATATTGTATAATACTTGTATATATTAGCGTTCATGGTTACTTTATATCGACAAAGAGTCAGTGTGTATATTTTAGTTCATTGTGCATAACATAGATAGTTATAGTTTGTAGTATTGCCGTATTGTTTGTGGACAACTTGGATTCAAGTATTTACTGGAACGAATCGTTCGAGATATGAACGCCTGGTTACACGTTACAATATCAATACTTTTTGTAGTTGAGGTGCTGTTTTAAACAATAAACCACTTTTGTTATCCTATTGAAATTACTTCGTTGGTTGAAAGACATTAATAAGATATTATTCATATGAAATTGAATATATAGAAAGGATTTTAACAATATTTTTAATCATAGTTCAATTCTGTTCAATGTACCTTTACAAAAGGAGAGAGGAGAAGGAAAACAGCAAAAAAAAACTATTAGCTTATTGTAGTCGCTGAAACAAAAGCAGAAAGAAATATAAATCAAATGTTTTAATAACAATTGTTAAACGGTCTTTCCCCTCCGAAACATGATTAATTGATTTTTGTTTTATTGGTTGATTGGTTGATTGATTGAGTGATTGGTTGGTTGGTTGGTTTGGTGTTGTTTGATTTACTGATATACTAATTGTACACATGGGATAAGGTCTCTTTGAACAAGCGAAAAAGAAACAATTAAATGCGATCTTGGACACCGTATTAAACATATTGATTGATTTGTTGTCTGGTTGGTTAGTTGGTTGGTTGGTCGGTTATTAGTTGGTTTTTTGATTGATTGACTGATTGCTTGATTGATTGATCGAAAGTTTGCATGGCACTCTCTCTATGCGAGGCATCGGACTTAACGTCCATATTCTGACCGGGTGCGTACTTGTACATCCTGCACTCCCAAACGGACAGCCTGAGGATTTTCTAATAAATAAAAACATCATTCATACACATGTTTACGGGAGTACAGATTTGTATTTTAATGCATGTTTAGAAATTTTATTGTTGGATTTCAGCAATATTTACGAACTTGGGAGCAATGTGTACGTCATTGAATTTTATTTCTCAATCAAGCGGACCGCGCCTAACGGGGACCTTTTTTTATTCATTTTATATTTTACAGTTAAACTATTGTCGTTCAATGCATGCACACAAACATAATGATGTTATTATAGTATTTTAACAAAACGTTAATCGATTAATTTTAAAAAACACATGAATTGGAACAGATGTTTGCAGGGATGAATTTCTATTTAAGAAGTTTGTACATAAGAAGTATTGCTGTTTTACGGTAAAATGTACAGGACTGAACTTCAAGGCGAAATGGGATTCCTGCAAAAAGAAAGAAAATAAAAGAAAAAGGAGGGGGAGGTGGAGGTGGAGGATGGTGAACCTTGGTTGATAAATTACGATCAGATGCATGTAAACATCATGATAGCTGCAAAGTTTGAAGCTATAATTAGTTAATTTTGTTCATTTTATTGTTTCAGTGGCATGGAACCCTTAATCAATGATGCGAACCATTTCGACATAAACTGTCCTGAAATATCATGTCACGACTAACATTTTGGTCAATTTCTTTTTATACGGCTTACGGTTTATGTGTTACAAAAACATAACGACAAATAAATTTGGTAAAGGTAAATACCTCCTATAAGATCTCATTGGATCGCTTCGATCCATATTAGCCAAATATTCCTGAGGATGTAATGAACAATTCAGATGAAGAATTTTGTCGTGATCTCTTTCTGTTACGAAAGAGATCCACACACTTGATAAACAGTTAATGGGGAGTTAACTCTTACAAAGAAAATTTGTTCGGCTTAATAGGTTGAAATTTAAAAGCTCATAAACTGTACGATTTAATATAAGAAATATCTAAGCAACATATTGCGAAACAAAAATTTCTAAATTTTGCGGAAGAAAAAATAATAATAATAATTAAAAACAAATTGTTCAGAGAACAATTGAAGGTCTGTCCACCCGTAAAGATCTATTTTGATATGAAAATAGTAAAATTTGGTTTAAAATGTCATTTCCAGCGTCAAATGATAGCTTATTGTACGCTGATTCAAAAAATATATGGTTTCTATACAATTTTTTTTAAAAAGGGAAATATTTTTTTCTTCCGGTTTGAAAAATGTTACTTCCGGTATTATTTGAATGTTTACCTGACACTGATTCCAAAAATATATGTATCTATATACTTTCATATCAAATAAGTACAAAAAATAGATACTTCCGGTTTATACAAGGTCACTTCCGGTTGGCTTTTTCGAGGTCAAATGGCTTGCAACCTTATGTTAAAAGTCCCATGGCTGTATCATGTATACATATAAGGTTAAAGCCAAAGTCAAAATCTAGAACGTCAAATTTACCAATTTCGAGGTCGTAAACAAAGAGCTTAAAATCAAAAGACCATAGGTCTGAATTATATATGGTTAACGAGTTATATCACTATATGCCTGATTTATAATAGAGGGAGGAACTCCAATTTAATGTTAGCGTACCCTTTCAACCAAAATTTATGTGTCACAACTTACAATTTAGTAAAAATATGTTGTCGATATCTTATATGGTTTTTGAAAAGAAGTTAAAATAAGCCAAAATCAAAATTGAAAATATGACCTTGACTTCTGACTTTCACCTTCTTTTCATATTTGAACAAGGACCTCAAATCAAAAGATCCTAGGTCTCTATCA